GGGAAGGAGGGGTAACTCACAGCAATGACCTCTAGCCGCTGCCGGTAGAGGGAGCTCTCGGCCATGGGCCTGTAGAAGAGGGCGGAGACTGGGGAGGGGGTCTTCCCAGGTCCCCACCCCTCGACAGGCCACCTCCTGAATGCCCCTTTCTGGGTCAAGATCCCTGAGCTGCTTGGAAACCAACTAAAGCCCAGTATTTTCCTCTATTTCCCCTCTGCAACTGAAAGGTGTTGGAGTAGAGGGCAGGGGGTCCTATGAGGGGGAGAGAGCAGAGACGCTGACAAGCTGAGCTAAAGCCCTTCCTAGGCTTGACATCACCTCTCTGAGCCTCAGTTTCCTCATCTGTAAAATGGGTCAGAATAGCTTGATCCTCACCTTATAGAGAGGTGCCCTTGCAAGGAAGTCTCCATGCAGGGGGAAAAAAATGGACATAGCGTTCCTAAAACAGTAGCATCATTTATTATCATTCATAACTTTAATAATTCCCATGATTAATAATGTTTATGGTTATTTATAAGGAGCATTTCCAGGCTGGCCCTCAGATACTCTCAAATCCTGCCAGGCCCCTAACATGCTGTGTGTCTCTTTCCAATTCTATACCCTCTCTGGACCTCAGCTCCTACCCAGGATACCTTAAGCACCAGGGGTTGAGGGAGTCTGGGGAGAGAAGCGTCCATCCCACCATGGACGCATGCTATCCCCATGGTAACTATGGAGCTACCTGCCAAATCCCCTCCCTGGGAGCAAATGTTACCAGGACATGTAGCCTAGCGCTGGACTCTGAGCTGGGAGGAGACAGAAGGGTCTTGCTGTTTAAGGTTTAACCTGAGATGCCGCCATTGTTGATTTCCTTGCAGCACCCCAGGATCCCCGATTTCCAGCTCCAGAGCTGCCCCTTCTGTGCTTCCCTGGAAGCAAGAGGCTGACTGTGGTACTTCAGGACACTTAGGGGACAGATGTTGTTATGTTAACTTGTCATCGCAGATGTGCATGGAGTACCCCCTACCTGGAGGCGTTTCATAGGCCAGTATCTAGAAGGATGCCTCTATTTGTCTGTTGTCCCTGACACTTAGCCCAGGGAGGGCACAGGGCAAGCCCTCAAACATTTATTAATTTGAGCACTAACTCCATTGGGTGAGCATTAGCCTCATTGCCCAAACTCTGCCGGGGCCTCCCAGATCTTCCCTGGCCACACCATAAAGACATAATAGTGCGGATACTTAGCCCTTACTATCTATAGTGCTCTAAGTGCTCGACAGGGCTTCCGCCAGGCCCTCCCAGCCACCCCCGCCTCTCCCTCCCTGCCCTGATCTTGAGACACTGTCGTCCACTCTTTGCTGAGTTGATATTCTGACAATAAAATCAGCCAACCATTAGCCAGCGCATACCATGTTCCAGGTGCTGTTACATGCTATGCCTGTAGGAACTCATTTAATCCTTCCAAAGATCCTGGGAGGCAAGTAATACGACTGTCCCTATTTTATGGATGGGGAAACTGAGGCTCCAAGAAGTGGTGAAAAGACTTGTCTAAGGTCGCTGAGTCAGGATCAGAGAACTCAGGGCTCTCAGGCCTCAAATACTGGGAACGCTGCGGGGGAAGAGGGGGAGTCCAGGCATCCTTGTCTTGGCAGCCAGGAGGCCAGAGATCAGCCTGGGGGTTCCCGATTTCACTCGGGGCAGGGGGGCTGAAGTCATGCTTTGCAGGATATCCCAAAGGGAGCCCAGACCCCCTACTAATAGGTTTGCCCTTGGGGGAGGGCTGACATCCTCCCTCTGCTGTCCCATTCCCAAGATGTAATCTCCTTGCCTCTTCCTTGCTGGGGGGGAGGGGGGGGTGATCAGGTTCCCGTTGCTAGGCAACCAGGTTTGTAGTTGGTGAATAATGCATCAGGGGACCCAAAAGAGTGAGGAACCAAATTGGGGTCCCTGGGGGGAAACTCTTTTCCAGAACTCTTTACAAACCTCTGGAGCCCCTCCACCCTCTTACTTTAAAAGGCCCTCAAACCTTGAATGTTAAAACCCTCGGCACACCCCATTTGATATTGTTTATCTCCAACTCTACAAGAACAGGGTTCGTGGCTATGGCCTGTTGTCACCAGGAGCAATGGGTGGCCCTTTCATTAAGCCAGTGATGGTTGCAATTTTGCCATCACCTTTCCCAGTTGGGCAGCTGTTAACTTTCTCTGTTGTATCTCAAGCATTTCTTCCTACCCTGGAAGCTGAGGGGTGTTTCAAGAGGCAAAACACGGGAGTGAGGAACCCTGGCGTTTCCTGGCCCCCCAATCCTAGCCCCACCCCCCAGCCTGGACTTTGAGCTTGAAGACTGCCAGTGGAAAAATCCCGGAAAAAAGAAAGTGGAGGTCCACATCTCCAACCCGACTCTGGGGAGAGGGATCCGAAGAGCCTGCGGGGTTGCCTGCTGACCTCTCTCCGCTCCCCCTGTTCCCCTTAGGAGAGGCCAGCTGGGGCTCTCACCCTGTGGAAAGGCCAGTGACCCTCCCAGGCCCTGCGCACCCGCCCCCCCGCCCCCCCCAGGACACTTACGTGGGTGTGGCCGGAGACCACATCTGGCTCTGCAGGGCCATCTCTGCCCGGAAGCCCACCTTCGTTTGGGTCTCCAAGATCAGGACCCCCCACCCGTTTGCTTGAAGGTGCCCTGGAGACTGTGACTTGGCTGGCGCGAAGGGGGGGGCTGCAGGCGGGCACCGGGAGAGCTGGTCCAGCTGGTTTGGGTCAGGAGGCAGGAGGCAAACGGGGCGAGGGGGGCTGGGGGCTGGCGGGCAGTTCTGGGGAGGTACTATCAGCTGTCCTGATAAATTATTTACCAGCCACTGGCCTCCTTGCCGCACTTGGCTGCCTCGCAGCAAACACACTCTCACGCGCGTGGTGCAGTGTGTGGGTGAGAACGGGGAGTCGCTGACCCCCTCCAGGGAATGGCACCTGCACTTGGCACCCCAGACGCCTCAAGTCCAGCTGCCCACCAAGGGTCACCAACATGTGAGCCTCATGGCGTAGCACATGTGTGGGATACTCTTATGCACGACTGCCCCTCCCTTCCTGGACCCTGGTGGGGAGGGAGGGACTGATCCAGCTAAGGGATTCTGGAGCCCAGAGGCTGAGCACCATGGGAATCAGGAGGCCTGGCCCAGGGGTTTCTAGGCCTCAGTTTGCCCTTTTGTGAAATTAAATCAGGTGGCCTCCAGGACCCTGACACCCCTCAGATGCTATAACAGTTAGGGATGGGGTGGTGATGAGGAAGGTCCAGAGAACTTCCTACCCAAATCCTCCCCATCCTGTTCTTTTTTTTTAAACTATTTATTTTATTTTGTTTTAAGTTTATTTATTTTGAGGGAGACAGAGACAACGTGAGCAGGGGAGAGGCAGAGAGAGAGAATTC